CTTGAGTGTAAGTATTAATATCAGTGCTATCACTGAATAAATTCCTCCTACTGTTGCAAACATCTTCTATTGGATGACTTTCACATTTCTTGTCAGTCATTGATTGATGAGATTGATTGAGTGGCAGCTTCAGACTGCCCTTATTTGCAAATGATCTTCTAAAACTCTTTATGTGCATTTTTGTCACAAGCAGAGTTTGCACCTTGATCCATAGCTCTTCCTGGGTAGTGCTGTTATTCCCATGATGGCTGAGGCAAAGTTCTTAAAAATTCTCTTTAATCGTAAACTCACATTTATTCCCCATATTAAGAAGCTTCATGTCAAGTATACAAAGGCACTTCTTGGGTAGGTGTAGATCTGTCATGCCCTCATTCAATCAAAGCTGAATTACGGGTCTATGGTCTACAGTTCAGCCAGGGACTCTGTATTTAAGATGTTGGACCCTATACATCATCATGGGTTTTGGCTCTGCACAGGGCTTTCCACACTTCACCTATCCAGCATCTGTACACTGAGTCCTATGAACCTCCTCATCTCCTCAGGCATTTGCAACTTTCTTTGCTATATGCTACTAAACTTCGATCTTTACCACAGCATCCCACCTGGGGTTATGTCTTCCTTCCTCGGTAGGCTGTGCTTTACGCAAATAGGCAGTCTGCTATTCCTACATTCGGCCTTCACATCTAAGCATGGCTGACTGAAATTGGACAATGTTGCTGAGTCCGATGATTAGCCCATCCCACCATGGCTCATTACCATCCCCACTTGTTACCTTTTTTGAGTTATATGAGGAAGACAAGTACTCCTGAATGGAAGTACCATGTTCTCTTTGTTGAACATCTTTTGAACCATTCTTGCATTCCCATTTTTATGGATGGTTCGAAATAAGGTGACTCTGTAGGCTCTGCCATGGTTTGGCTAAGTGGTTGCTTGCAGGATCTCCTGTACAGTTTCTGTGTTCACTGCCGAGTTATGTGCCATTTCACTTGCCTTGGATCACATAAAAGCTAAGCAGTAGACTAATTGTACAATATACACCGATTAACTTAGCTCTCTGCTGGCCCTGGAATCGCTTAATGTGAATTCTTACCCAGTTCTATTAAATCTTCGACTGGCTCACTTCTTATTGTAATCTATTTCTATCTAGTTTTTCTGAATTCCTGGCCATGTATGTATTCATGGGAACAAGCTTGCTGACACCGCAGCTAAGTCCATCTGCTCTGACATCGTCACAGCCCTGCCTGTCCCATATGTGGACTACAGACGTATGATCAGGGCACTTCCTCACGCCAGTTGGAAGTTGATTTGGATTGAGCAACTCCATAGAAATATTTTCCAGATTAAGCCTACTGTTGTTGTTTGGCTGTCTAGTTTCCTTATGGATTGGAGGGAGGAAGTTGTCTTGTCTAGCCTACGCATTGGCCACTGTTTTGTGATTTATCTTTTTCTTCTGCTGGAGACAGCTCCGCCAATGTATGGCCTTTATGACACTCAAATCATAATTGTTTGCAGTTTATTTTCGTGCCGTCATTACGACTGCAAGCAACAGCACCATTTTAGACATGTTTTTTCTAAGGGTTTACCCCTCACGTTGGACAGTGTCATTGGCGAAGGTCATTGTTTGTTTTTGTTTGTTTTCTTCTTTTCATTTTACCGTGTTTTGCTTTTATAGTTTCATCCTTTTGTTTTCTACCAGTTGTTTGGCGCAGATAGCCACGTTGCTTTGACCCAATAAACTCCAACCAACGAACCAATAAAAGTGGAGACATTGCAAACTTCTGTAATAAGTAGTTATCAAATATATAATGTTGTTGTAAATATGAAAACATTGCAATTTTGCTTCTTTGTAATTATGCACAAAGCTACACAATGGGTTATCTGTGCTCTGCCTACTACAGGTATCGAAACCCGGTTTCTAGCATTGTAAGTCCACAGACATACTGCTGTGCCACTGGGGTGCTTTTGTATAAGTAGTTGTGAAATATATAATGATACTATAAATATGAAAACATTGTAAACTTCTATAAGTAGTTGTAAAATTATCAAAGATATTATAAATATGAAAACAATATAAGTTTACATAAGTAATACTGGAATATAAAACAATGATGTGAATGTGAAACCTTGTGAATATCCATATGTAGTTATGGAATATGTAACAATGTTATTGATATGAAAATATTATAAACTTTTATAAACAGTTGGGAAATATATAACGATGTTTTTAAAATGAAAATTTCTTTAACTAATATCTATCTACAACTAAAACTCTGAGATTGTTTGTGTGTGTGCTTGTCTGTAATTAAATACAGCAAAAATGGCGCACAATACCGCCATATTTGTAAGGAAATGAGAATAGAAACAGAATAAAACAAGTTTCGTTAAAATCGGGCCACGGGTTACCGAGTAAGCCCCGTTTTTCGGGTCACTTTTAAGAAAATTTTAGATGAATTGAGGTACACTAGATTGCGCCACATATCGGTTTATCTATCTATCTATTCGTTTTACACCTGATGAATCACTTTAAAATATCTTCTATACAACAATATATGCACAACATAAATTAAATGATGAGATGAAAATGTGTTATAATGGCGCATAGAAAGAACAACAATAAAATGGACCTACAATATTATTGACTATTTGCAAATAGTAACTATGAAGACGAGGTAATAAAATAAAAATCAAGTCGAGAACAACAACAAAATTTTATAAACGAAAACCTCTCGCTGAGCATTGGCTATTATATTATTTGCCTATCAATGTTCCCATCTTCATTAAAAGGCATAAGATAACAAAAACAAGATCTTGAAGAATTTATCTATATACTACTAAACTCTGAGATTGTTTGTTTGTTTGCTTATTTTCTCAGTCAAAAAATCATTCACACTACTATTCGCGCACTTTACGAAACTTTATCGGGCCACAGGTTACCGAGTTAGCGCAGTTTTCGGGTCACTTTTATGAACATTTCTAGCATGAGTAATTTTACATCACACTACCGTTCACTCTCTTTACGAAACTTCTTCGTTCAAATCTATTTCCCTGTCAATGTTCCCATCTTCATTAAAAGGTGTAAGATGACAAAAACAAGATCTTGAAGAATTTCTCAATAATGTGCCTTGGTTATGGTAGGTAATTCGAAGAAAAAATAAAGTGTTACTTTTTCTTATTAGTAGGAAGTTCAAGAGGAAAGACCACAACATAATGAATTAATTTGTCACAATATGTGAAAACTCTGACTTCACTTTTTGATCAGCAATCAAATATGTTTTCTTGAATTATGATTAACATGAATGGATTGAAATATTTAATTAAATTATCTCAAAATAAACCTTCATTTCGGTGCAAGACTGAAATTAACTTGAATTCTTCATAACCTCTGAATAGTGGGCGACCCAACAGATCACGGGTGGTCTAGTAATATTATAAATATGAAAACAGTGTAATCTTCTATAAGTAGTTCTCTACTATACAGCGATGTTATAAACATGTAAACATTTACTATTAAATGCTAAACTGTTACGTAACGCCAGGCCACAAACGAATTTTTTGTTATGATAGAATTATTAGGGATTTAACATTTTTATTCGATTCTAGCATTAAATTAACTGTGTGTATAATGCATTTTAGCAATACCTTTTGATGGTGTCGAAACGTATTTAGCACGTCGGCATTGCGTACGAAAGTAGCTCTCTGTGCTTAATCCTCAACTTTCCAACTTCACTACTGGCGGGTTGAACATCTTAAGCAGTTTTATGTTCTACACAGTTGCAACACTCAATGTAAGCAATTGACCAAAAACACTTGGATGAAACCGTGTATTTTCTAAGTAAAATACATACAAGATACCCTAGCCGTTACTAGTAGGATCTACTGCAATGTTGGTAGTAAATTGGTGTTTGTGACTCGCATGTTATAAGAGACCTCGTTACCAACGAACTTATCTATTCATAAGTGATTTGGCGAATTAAAAAAAACAAAAACGTATTTTATGTTTATATGCGCAAAGCTACACAATGGGCTACGTGCACTAAGCCCACCATAGGTATCGAACCCAGAATTTTAGCGTATAAACACTGAAGCTTACCTCTGAACCACTAGTTGGATAAAAAAGTGTTCTAGCTGTGCAAAGCGCACTAATGCCATTACACCTGGTTGGACGATAGGATTTTGTTTGTAGAACCACTGATACATCAGTGCTGCCACCTTTTCTTTCATCATAGCAGTGCAAATAAAAATACAGTTGTTGGCCTATCATGGTAACAATTATATATGTTTCTGTGAACTATTAATTAATCAGAGTTTAATATTTAATCGTTGCATTTGTTTTATCTTTTGCAGAATAGCGGTTTGAAAAAAGCATGTTTTTCAGAATGTGAACTGCAATCTAAACTTGTTTAATTATGGATCAGAGCGCATAGAATAGCTAACAGTAAGAATCTTGTTGTGAGAACTTATATAATTACTATCTTGAGTGTTCTCTGATTGCTCAGCGTAAGTTTACAGAATTACAACGCTAAAATCCGTGATTCGATTCTCCTTGGTAGGCAGATTGTAGATACTCCATTGAGTAGCTTTTGCACTAAGAAAACAACTACAACAGCAACAGATATCTGCGCTGGCCGTCCCTAATTTGAAATTGATAGACTAAAGCCCTAGAGAGATAGTAGTCAGCATCACCCACTGCCAATGCTCAGACTACTCAAACCGAATTATGGAATTTGAACGCCACTTTTATAACGCACCCACCATCTCATAATGCGGAGAGCGATTTTTCTGTTGGGGCAATGGGACGCGAACAATGGACCCTTACGAATCTAATCTTAACAATATGAATTGACACAATAAGTATTTCTGGCTAATAAAATGTTAAACGAATTATTTAAAGCGTGAAGTAAAGTAGTTCTTGTTACCGCCGTAGTTCGTCTGTAAACTATAGTTTTATTTATAACAAGTGTAGTCCAAAAAAGATTCAGTTGGTACTACTCCTTAACGCAATATTTACTCCTCTTACGCTGCATTGATTTTCGAAATAAATCGATCTCCTCTGCGCATGGAAAAAGCTAGTTCCTTCTCCAGAAAGGGTTTAGAGGTGATAGAAGTTCGACAAAACCCCTCTCGTATGAAGTCTTCCAGCATGGCCTGAGACATGAAATTCTTCTCATCAAGGTAAACTGCTTTTCCTGTTGCTACTAAATCAAAGACGTTGCTGTTGAGGTACGACTGAGCAGCCCTCTGACGATTCTCAAGAGCATTTCGGAGAGATACTAACTGGGCGACGTTTGAACTCTGAAATTTAAATTAATTATGCAGGTTACAATAAAATGTGAACTTAATTTCAGATGAAAATCAACTTTGTTTTTGCTAAGTCGTGAAAAAAAAAGAATCAAGAAAAATGTTACTTCCAGTGAAAGTGACGTGTTAGAAGCCAGCTAACTTTTGTATGGGTCCATATAAAAACATTATGTAAAACAGTTATTTCCAGTGAAAGTGACCTGTTAGAAGCCAGGTAACTTCTGTATAGTTCCATATAAAAACATTATGTAAAACAGTTTTTTTATATGGAAACATACAGAAGTTACCCGGCTTCTAGCAGGTCACTTTCACTGGAAGCAACTGTTTTACATAAGGTGTTTATATGAAACTGTACAGAAGTTAACTGGCTTCTAGCATGTCACTTTCATTAGAAATAACTGTTTACATAATGTTTTATATGGAATCATACAGAAGTTACCTGGCTTCTAACAGGTCACTTTCACTGGAAGCAACTGTTTTACATAAGGTGTTTATATGGGACCATCTAGAAGTTAACTTACCCGGTTTCTAGCAGGTCACATTCATTGGAAATAACTGTTTTACATAATGTTTTTATATGGAACCATACAGAAGTTACCTGGCTTCTAACAGGTCACTTTCACTGGAAGCTCACTTTCACTGGAAATAACTGTTTTACATAATGTTTTTATATGAAACTGTACAGAAGTTACCTGGCTTCTAACAGGTCACTTTCACTGGAAGCAACTGTTTTACATAAGGTTTTTATATGGGACCATACAGAAGTTAACTTACCTGGCTTCTAGCAGGTCACTTTCACTGGAAATAACTGTTTTACATAATGCCTGCTAGAAGCCGGGTAACTTCTGTATGGTTTCATATAAAACATTATGTAAACAGTTATTTCTAATGAAAGTGACATGCTAGAAGCCAGGTAACTTCTGTACTTCTGTATGGTCCCATATAAAACATTATGTAAACAGTTGTTTCCAGTGAAAGTGACCTGTCAGAAGCCAGGTAACTTCTGTTATAAAAACATTATGTAAAACAGTTGCTTCCAGTGAAAGTGACCTGTTAGAAGCCAGGTAAATTAACTTCTGTATGATTCCATTTAAAAACGTTATGTAAAACAGTTGTTTCCAATGAAAGTGATGTTTTAGAAGCCAGGTAAGTTAACTTCTGTATGATTCCATATAAAACATCATATAAAACAGTTGTTTCCAATGAAAGTGATGTTTTAGAAGCCAGGTAAGTTAACTTCTGTATGATTCCATATAAAACATCATATAAAACAGTTGTTTCCAGTATTAGTGTTTCGTTAGAGATCAAGAAATTTAATTTCTGTATGGTTCCATGTAGAAAAGTTATGTAAAACAGCTGCTTCTACTGCCAGTGTCTCGTTAGAGGTGAGGTAAGTTAACTTCTGTATGGTTCCGTATAGAAACATTTTGTATCAATATAGTATCTTCAACAGGGAGTAAATTACTAAAATCTTGTTATGAAATATATATATATATATATTAAATATGTCGATCTGAGAAATAAAATAATTTAAAAGAAACCTTAAAACTGATAAACACAATCCTATATAACAAACTGACTGAAGGCATTACGTCATATAACAAGACACCAGGAAAGTAAGACTTATAATGATTAGAGTAAACAGTGTGATCAGTAGGGTATCGTTGCTATTACGATCAGAATGTATCAATAAATAGTTGGGTGACCTCGCTGTTACAAACAGAATGTATTATTATTAATAAATCAGTTGAGTATCATCGCTGTTACGATCAGAATGTATTATTATTAATAATCAGTTAGGTATCATTGCTATTACGATCAGAATGTATTATTATCAATAATCAGTTGGGTATCATTGCTATTACGACCAGAATGCATTAATCATCAGTTGGGTATTCTTGCTTTTACGATCAGAATATACTATTATTGTTACGTCTCCGTTTGTTAATTGATTTCCCGTAAATTCGTTCCGACGAAACTTAAGCGACACAAGTCCTTACTTAATAAAACTGGTTTATTCTTTCCGAATATAACTTTACGATACACTTAATTTCAACAATCGCGCTAAAACAAACGCTATAACAACGAACTTCAACAATACTCTCTGACTGCAGATCAATTACTCACTACCTACACACACATTTTTCCGTCACATTGTCACCCTCTTATATATATATATACCAGACTACCCTATATCTAGTAATGGCTGGAGACCCTATATCTAGTAATCTCCCGACTATTCCTGAAGGTTCGAGAGGTGGCGTGACACTAGTCACGTGACCTCGCTAACGCAACATTATTAATAAGCAGTTGGGTATCATTGCTATTACGATCAGAATGTATTATCGTTAATAATCAGTTGAGTATCATTGCTATTACGACCAGAATGCATTAATCATCAGTTGGTTATCCTTGCTTTTACGATCAGAATGTATTATTATTAATAATCAGTTTGGTGTCCTCGCTGTTAGGATCAGAATGCATTAATAAATCAGTTTGGTGTCCTCGCTGTTAGGATCAGAATGCATTAATAAATCAGTTGGGTATCCTCGCTAACAAACTCAGATTCTCCATTTTAAAAGAAAGTAACTAATTAAGATTGACCATTTTATAGCACTATTTTACAACACAAAACTAAGACTGGCCATTATGCAGCAGTGAAACAAACTGAGATTGGCAAATTTTAAAGCAGAAAACAAAAACTGACCAAATTATAGCAAAAAAGCAACAAAGACTGACCATTTTACAGTACAGAAAATGATTAAGACTGACCATTCTATATCACAAAATCAAACTAAGATTGAGCATCTTACAGCACTAAAACAAAGCTTGACAATTTTACAGCAAGAAAACAAGGAAGGCCATTTTATAGGATACCTCAATTTCCTCCACTAAAGCAGTCCCACTTTCAACCATGATATTTATATTTGGGTTTTCTATGACGTCCTTCAAGTCTCTAACCAACCATCGGGCTTCAGGAAAAGTTAAAAAAGCGATGAGGTTACCGCTGTATGTGGCGATGATGATTAAAACTGACAGCCACCAGGTGATTAACACAAGTCGAGCTGAATGAGCTTTCGGTATGATACTGCTCCCTGAAAAAGCAATATTTACGTTAGCCAGAACATTATGTCTTGCATTGGCCAGAACATTACGTCTTACGTTAGCCAGAACATTATGTCTGAACGGTCCATGAAGACATAGTGCTTCTTTTAAAACACGAAAAATAAGATTAGCCAGGGTGAATATGAAGATATAGGAAGCTTAAAATTGCTTTTAAATGTATAAAGGCAAGCCTTTCTTAGATAATGGAAACAACCAGTCAATTATATACTCCTAAATAAGAAGTTATTGGTAGTTTGGTTAGAGAAAAAGTTACATAAGTTAGCAATAGCTAAGGCATTGAACATATTGTTTAAGAACATGTTTTGTCATATCTTTACACGTGAGGTTATCAAAGACTGAGTCGACAAATTGTATCAAACGTATAGTCTTCCAGACACCATGTTATCAGTAGTTGAGTCAACATTTTGTGCCAGTAAGTTATGGTTGTTTTATACACGAGGTTATCAGTGGTTAAGTTGATTTATTGTGTCAAAATATATAGATTTCTAGACACAAGGTCATCATTAGTTGAGTTGATATATTATGTCGTACATTTGTTATCTCAAACGCGGGGTTATCTTAAACTGAAACGGTCGACATATTGTGTCTAAAACTTATGTACTTCTAAATTCGAGGTTACCTATTGCTGGTTTGGCATGCGTTAAACATTTTCTCCTTTTTAACATATAATATTATTAAGTTCTATACGACTAACAGTATTTCGTAAGAATTTTTTAACATATTTATTTTTATACCATGAATCTAAAGATGTATATACTAGAAATTCTTACCTTGCTGCACCATCGTCCCATAAGACAACCACAAACAGTTCAAGTAGCTGAAGTACTTCTGGTTATTGGCCAAGTCTGTAGATAGTTTGTAGAATGGGCTGACACGATTTATTAAGAAAAATATAACGCTGATAATGAGCATAGCAAGAAAAATCGACAGCCAGGTCTGTAAAAACACAGTGATATTTTTAGTTTACCAAAATGTACTTTCTTTAATTTTATAGAATAATATTTAACCTCAATAGAGTTTAAAACACATATATTGTTTACGAGGTATGATACATTTAAAATTAGATGTACTTACATATTTTGTTCACTGATAAGGAATATAAATCATTTTTAAATTGAAAAAAAGTCAATGGTTTATAATTTGAAGTTTTAATAATTAAATTGGTTTAGTATAACAAATTTGACATTTTTACTTTCTTGACAGGTCGACATTGAAATCATTGTCTTAAATGTTTGGACCAAGTTTCTATTTGTACAAATACTGAGAGAATGATCGTAAGTTTCAGAAATATTGAGAGCAGAGGCATCGCTAGGTCCGTGCCCCGCTTCTATCTGGCAGTGCCACGAATCTCCAGTTATTGTCTTGAAAAATCATAATAGAAAACCATAATTGATATCATACTTAAACGCCGAAAGTTCCCGCGCCTATGGGCCCGAGTCCCGAATCGCCTAAGCACCTAGCGACGCCTCTGATTGAGAGAATGATCTTCCATTTACACAAATACTGAGAAAACAAGCTTCCATTAGCAAAAATCGACAATCACGCCTCTCTGACCACTAATGGCCCCAAGTGGCACAGCGGTACTCTGCGGACTTACAACGCTAGAAACCTAGTTTCGATACCCCTGGTGAGCAGAGCACAGATAGCCCATGATGTAGCTTTGTGCTTAACTTCAAACAAACAAACTGATCACTAACACCATTTTAATTGCAACGAACAACACAGTTCACGGCAAAACAATCACTCCTAACCTAAATTCATGGAAACGTACCCCTGAAATAAGCAACCTAATTCATGAAAGAAGAAGGCTCCGCCATCAATTCATCATAACCCGCGACATCTCATTAAAAACTTTAATAAACAACACAAACAATCAAGTCAAAAACATATTAAAATTCAGCAACAACACAATTGGGACACTTTCTGCAAATCTATTGACGAATCAAAATCCAATCCACCACTTTTTGGCGTAAATTTAAAAAGGTCTGCAACAACACCACAAATAATCTAATAATGGTTGGAAACGGCTTGAACAAATAATCAAAATTTTAATCAAGACACACGGTAATGTGTCGTGCGGTCAAAACAACCTGCTGCTGGACACTGTGTGTTATTAACAAGAGGGATACTTTAGCGATGTTCCACCTTCTGTATCTCGTACTGTGGTAATCTAAACTATCACATATTTTCAGTGCATGTGCTCTACTGGACTCAAATATCAAGGCAATCCATTAAGAAATACCTGAGATATAACATCTCCAATTTTGATTTAGTT